TTTCCCTGCCCATGGCAGGGGGGGTGGACCTAGATGATCTTTGAGGTCCCTTCCAACCCAAACCATTCTATGATTCTATGATTTGTATAATACACTGTCACTGATGTAACTAGCAGGTTTTGGTTGAGGTTTTTACAACGAAATAGAATTTTATTGCAGTTTTGAGTTTCAGCTCCCAATTCTTTCAGACCATACTGTGAAGACTGATTTAAATCTCGTTACACATATATCAGCCAGCCAGGAGAATAAAAGGTTTCCACTTAAGTAAAATTGCATTGGAACTGTAGCTTTAATATTATAATTTACTGTGCAATGTTACTTTGTCTAAAGCCATGTTCAAGTAATTGTAAGACCACAGCTTTGTCTTTGCTTGGCTTGTGTTACAGAATAGTATGGTGCTTTCTGCTGCGATCTTCATCACACTGATTGGCCTGATCATATACCTGCACTTCGTGAAAATTGACCACGAATCCCTGTTGGTCATTGGCTCACTTGGCATTCAGGTGACTTCATCCTATGTAGCACAACCTTCATTGAGATGGGTGACGTGAAGGATGTGGTTATCAATGAAGCCATCCATATGGTAATCATACACCGTCTTTCTTCTTGTGTATCTGTGGGCACACTCACATCCAGTCTATTTTCAGGAGCGTGATTTACCAGAGCAGTCAAACACAGCACCGTCCATAGTGATACTGACATCAGGAGCTTTGTTTCAGATTTCTCTCCTTATTCTCTCTTCTGTTCTCTCACCTTCAAAGGAGAACTTAAGCCAAACAAATAACCTCAAAAAGCCAAATCCATCCCTTAGATAATGCCACTGACATTGAGCTAGTGGTTTTAGTTCTCTATGTTTTACTGTTCTTACAAATCCTGATGCCAAACTCTGTTAAGTAGTCAAGACAGAGATAAGAACATAAACAACACAAGAGATTATTTTTCATATTTCTGGGCTTTTCTGCAAAGCTCCTGTAGAAAAGCAGACCTTACTCTTCTGGCATGTGTGTGTTCTTTTCAGATTAAAAATTTCATAGAAAAAAAACACTGGTAATTTTTTTTTTTTAATTGTGTGAAGGGAGGAAGGCTATAGATATAAGTTTGTAGACTTGACTGTGGCCTGCGGTCACTGGCCTTCAGCCCGTCGAGTTGAAACAGATCCTCTTTCTGTGATGGCTTCAGGCACTTTGCTAGCATTTTCAAACTCTGATGATTTTGTCTGTTTGTCTTGTAGCAAAAAGTTATCTACTACTTGTGCATCCTCCTCCAGGACCCTGGAGATCCTCAGGGAGTGTCTGAGGTTGTGCCACTCTTTCAGGTGAGTTCGTCTGGATGGTGGAGAAATCCAGATCTGTGGTCTGTCTGTGTGTGCCAATTGTCTGAGCTGTCTTTATTCCACTACAGGTAGCTGATTGCAGTTGCCTTTCCCTGACTGGGCCTTCAGGTTGGGTCTTACAGCATTGTAGAATGGGTGGTATTGGAAGTCTCACAGAACTGTCTACCAGGGATGGTTTTTTCATTCGTCCTCCATTCAAAGAACAGGGAGCTGTGTAAATCTGAACCCAACCAGGAGTTTGCATGAATGAAATCTTTGGCTCATGTAGGATACTGAGGACTCACACAGCTTTCTGTGTAGTCTCATGCTCAATGCTACATTCATAACTATAGCACTGTGCTGTAGTTGATTTTTCTCTGAGCTCTGTGTGTGAAAAGTGCCCATAAAAACCTCCTTGGCATTAGAATGACTTCCCTGTCTCGCCTGTTGACAAAGATCACAATACAAGCTGTGAGCAATTTGCTTAATGTATAATAACTTGCTTGCGTTACCAATGCCCTGTCTCCCCTTTCTCTTCTTTTGCTAACCTGTTCGTAATCCCGTTTTGGGGATGGATTTTATTTCTGCCTTTCCTTACCTGCCTAACACAGCAATGCCCTGATCCTTGGGTGGTGGTAAGCAGTACGGAGGTACCTTACATCTTAGACTGCGGATGTTTATAGCCCTCTCTGTCCTTCTTAATTCACCTGCTGCTGGTGACTATCAGATTGTAGTCCACATCCAGTTAGTCTTCAGCTAAATGCTTACAGGTATAAATAGACTATTCCATTGATACTTGCTGCTAACTCAGTCCCACAATTGTAAAGACATACACTAACAATAATATACATGAGGTGTTTCACACATAGCCAAGGGAGAAAAATGGATTTGCTGGAAGTCAAGTACTACTAAATTCCAGCTGCTCTCAGGAACATGGTTTTAGTTATACATGTTCCTTTCCAGTGTCAAAGAGGGGCTGCCTGGCATTTGTGTAGTTCCTTTTTTTTCCCTAGCTCAACTCTGAACAGTGTTATTTCCATGGGAATACCTTAGTATTGGAAGAGTTGACTCCACCAGCAAAGGAGGTACAGAAAGAGCTGTGTCAGTTTGCAATTCATCACCTGTCAGTAATTCTCACTTCAACGTGCAAGTTAGTATGTTACTTAGTTTTGAAGGAGCAGTAATTAGTAACTTTATTGCATCTCCACCATTGGGTTCCTCGTAAGTTATGTCAGCCTTCAAAACTACAATTTACCGTGTCACTGAGCCCAGGAGCACTCCTGCGCTGAATTGACCTATTGTTCTCTTAAGCAACACTTGCAAGGAGAGGCGTTTGATGGACTTTACACAGTAATGCTCCCTTTTGGGAGCTCAAAAGTCATGGGACCATAGGGACTGTGGGACTGGGAAACTTTCACCTCCTTGCTGGTTTTAATCTGCTCCAAGTTAGGAGTGATGGAAAATCATTATACTTTGACCACTGTTTGCTGTTTGTGTGAAATGAATTGATGTTTTCAGTTAACCTGCTGTTGTCCTTTTGTTGACAGTACTAGCAGAGGCCAAGGGCTAGGTGTCTAAATTCCCTGTCCTGAAGGTAGATTTTTCAAGGTAGAGGTCATGTAGGATGGTGGATTAGTGTATGGAAATGTGCTGTTTGGCAGGTGTCTAGAGGGAGTACAGCCTAATAGATAGGTTAGTGAATTGGAAGGTGGGGATTTTCTTCCATGCAGTCAATGTGCACTGTGAGCAGAGAAAGAGGAGGATTTCTGATTTGGTGAGAGACTCAGGCTAACTGCAGGATGGTGCTGCATGTTTTGACCTGACAGCTTTAGGGACTGGCATTTTTCATCCCAGAGCAGGTATGGCTTATGGAACGGCTTTACATTCCTATATCACCAGCTTACATCAAACACCTCCTGGAGTTTCATGGATTATTTCTCAGCGAACGTGTAAAAGAGAAATCTATTCTCCATTGATTTATGTGAGAAAGCTAATCAACTACAGATACCTTGTTGTTTCATTTCTTGTACGTGCCTGCTTCTGATAGTTAGCTTTGTGTCAGCTGTTTCCACATTCTTTTCTCTGCCTAACAAATCTCACTAGTGAGAAGTTAAAGCTTTCCAGCTCTTTTACAGCCAGTTCAGAGCCTCATTCTCTGTTGTTTGACTTGAATTCTAGAGCTCCAAGCCACGTCTGGACTGCTTGATAGAAGTGTACAAAAGTTGTCAAGAAATCCTGGAGCAGAGGAAGATGGCTCCACAACCAAGTGGTATAAAATAGTTAAAAAAAAAAAATCAAGGTAGCAAACTTGCAGCAGGACTTGGAGAGACACATGGAAAAGCAAGCAGGACTTCCCCATGACTTTTTGAAATTAGATGAGTAGAAAATGGTGCAGCAGTACAGTGCTGTTAGGGCTACAGGCCTGCACAGACTCACAGACTTGTTACAGAGCATGTCAGCTCAAGCACACAAGTGAACCTTGAAATCCTCTGCTATGACGACAGGTGAGAAGAACTTTTTGGAGTCAGACAGAAAAGGTTTTTCCTTTTCTCTCCAGAAAAGAATTATGGAGAAATAGAGCAAAGGGAGGCAAGAACATGTATCAAACATTTCCTGTTTTGTGGAGCTGAAAATTCTGATAAACTCACGATGTAACCTTGGCCAGACTGCCAAAAATGTATATTTTTTTTTCCGTTTCTATTTAACCCTCTGTTTGAAAAACCATATACCACTTTAATTACCAAAGCTGATGGGTGGGCTGGTCTGGTTAACTTCCTAATCCACAGGAGAATTTCATTTAAAAAATTAAAATATATTGTGCATAGAATCATAGAATGGTTAGGGTTGGAAGGGACCTCAAAGATCATCTAGTTCCGACCCCCCTGCCATGGGCATTATGTTTAATGAAATAAACATAGGAGAGGAGACCTTGGCCTCTTCAGGGATCTGCTTCAAAGAGTCCCACGGGATGGGACCCTAGAGGGAAGAGGGGTCCAAGAAAGGTGATCAATATTCAAGGATCACTAATCTCAAGAACAGTCCGTCTCAATGCACTGGAAGTCAAGCAAAAATGCCAGGAATGCTATGGATGAATAAGTTGCTCCTGGTAAAACTCAAACACAGAAGGAAAGTATACAGAAGGTGGAAGCAGGGACAGGTAACCTGGGAGAAATATAGCGACACTGAGATGCGGGTTAGGAAAGCCAAAGCCCACTGGAGATGAGTCTGTTGAGGGATGTCAAATGCAACACGAAGGGCATCTGTAAGTGCATAAGTAGCAAAAGGAAGCCAGGGAACATGTGGACTCATTGGTGAATGGGGCAGGGGCATTGTGACACAGGACATGGAAAAGATGGGGCATTAAAAGGGCCACGTCAGTTGCTCTAAGAATATGAGAAAATCTGTTGTTGACAATAGTGGTAATGACTATGTGAATAAAGTTTTACTGATCTGTGTTCTAAGGATTAACTTAAGGGTGGGACATTCTTCTTTGTTGATGAGCTAGAAGTCACTGTAACCTTTAACTGGTATTTTTCTCTCTTTTTTTTTCATTGATTCCTTAGTAATGTAACTGACATGTTTGAAATGTCAAAACGAGAGCTAAACAAGTTGGCAGGAGCCTAGGGGTCAGGCTTGATTTGCATACAATGCAGAACTGTGGTTGCCTGCGCAGAATTAAAATGTGGCAACATACCATCATGCAATATGGTAGAGATAAGGGGGTTTATATTTTTTTCATGGTACCATGAAGTTTGAAAGACACAGATTAGCTCACATCATCGGGAAGTATTCTGGTTGTCCAAGTGAAAGGCAGTAGCTTGGGGATGTGCCATTGGCTTTTGGGTAATATTGTCTAGGTTACTTCATTTTTTATTGTTTTATTTCTCATACTTTAAATATTGGGGTTGGGAAGACCTTTCAGTGCAGTGCTGCCCTAATGTAAGTTAGTGGGTCTCTCTGAAGTTAGTGAAGCTGCACCCTAATGCAAACTGTGTTCAGTTGCAAGTCCAGGCAGAATTGGGGAGGGTGGGTGTTGAAACGGGCAGAAATTGGCTAATAACAGTGGCAGGCCCTGGGAGCATGACTGTGTAAATGACTACAGCAAAGGTCCTTTCGCTAAGAACCACGTGGTATGCTTGAGTTGCCTATAGCTTGGGGCATGGTTTGGCCAGGTTGCTTCTTCATGGGGAGGAAAAATGGTCACAACCCTTGAGGAGCACTCATGCAGCAGGAAGATCTGCTGAGCATTGAGGAGAACATGTCAGAAAATAAATGATATCTCAGCAGAGTGAACAGAGTCTTGGGCTTAAGAGTGTGCTGGGAACATTGACTATGCTGTGAAAATTCCCATGAAGTCCTGAGAATATGCACTGAAGAAATTACCAAGTAGCTGTGTCACAGGAGAAAGTCTAGAAGATTGTTTTAGCCATCTTTTGAAGGAGTGAACATCCTGTGCCCATGGGAGTGCACTTTAGTCATCTACTAAAGCTGAGAGAAAACAAGCAGAGAGAAACAAGGAGTCAGACTAGGGCAGGTTTGCACCAGGTATGTGCCTGGATACCAAACACAATCTTTGTCCATCGTTGTTTACATCAAGACTATTTTGGCTTTTAAAATAGTTTCTTTCACTCTGAGAATACTACAGTTTAATTCATAACTGCATTTTATTAAGAACAAACAGAAATTTCACAGTATCTCGCAGACAGCCTTTTACATACACACAGCAGTCAGGAAAACAAAGGCTTCTGTTGTCTCATTCTATGCTGTGGCAATAGTCATTGCCAAAAGCATTGATTAAAATAAAAATTGTTTTCTCTACCAAAGAATCATACAAAAAAGATACCTACACAGGGCTGTTTGGTTTTTGTTTGTTTGAAGTCAGGCAGGCTATAAATAGGGGGTATGTGTGCATCCATCAGAGTGGGGTGGTCCCTGAAATACTCAAGTATTGGTGAATATTTTTAAGAAATAAGAAAGGAGAAAAAGTTCTATATGCCATGCTTCTCAATTTAAAGTGCAGTTATGGCAGAAAATAATGAGCTTCAGGACAGCTCTTGCTTATTCAACATCTCTGCTTCTTGTTTGCCTTGGTACAAGTGTCTGATGACAGCTCAGCTTATTCTGAAGCAGCTTTGTTACTGGTGGGATGCAAGAAGCAGGCTGCCAAACAGACCTTCAGACACAGCAGGAACTGTTAGGCACAGTTGATTGAGTAAGGAGGAATAACCCTCTCTGTATTCATACTGATGTATCTATACCAAGATCCCTCTGTGTTTGTGAGAGAGAGAGGAAATACATATTACTGACCACTCTATCAGGGTATATAGTCACCTAAAAGTATCTATGGGGAAAAAAAAAGACTAAATACCTTCTCAAAATTGTTTTTGGCTCAGAAAGCTTCCACCTTTTTGATAACTTCATGGGATGGTCCTTAAATTCATAAGTGGGTACATTACAGTATGTGTAAATCAGGTCTCTGTTCATACAATCTTTTCCTGCCTTATGTCTACTGTATTGTTTCCACAACCCACCATGGGGTGGTTTGGTTTGTTTTGTGTTTTGTTTTGTTACGAAGATGCTAATAAGGGATTACTTAAAAGATTTTTGTCTGTCCCATGCTCTTCTCTTTTAATTTGTGGCTTTGCACTCACCATAAGTGTGAAACAAAAACTTCTTGAAGTATCAGCTCCACTGTGTGCATTAATTGAATATTTCAAGGTTGGTTGCAGGTACTAGGGAGTGAAAACACTGGTATGGTTGGTTTGTTCATTTGCAAATAGCTTTGGTTTGCCATTGCTGAATTCTTTCTAATGGTTGGATTCACACTGTTTTAATTTGGGAAAGCTGCCCATGAATGCATAATTATTATGAGGTTGCACATGGTACTTTTGAAAGTGCAGTTATTCTTCCTTAGCTTTTTTAGAATGCTTATCAAAATAGCCGAACTCAAGCCAGGTAGATTCAGATTTTTCAAGAAGAATTGCTATTTTTCTTTTATTTGTTTAAAATCCATTAACCGTGTCAATCATAACGAAGTCCCTTTGAAACAGATCTTAAAAAAAATTCTTAGGAAAGTCTGAAGAACAATACTTGAGTACACATTTGCTGACTACCTCCTCCTTGCTATGGTAGCATGAAGGAAGCAGGCGTTTGAAAGGAGCAGCTTCTGTCAAGTCAGAATGGCAGAGCCGGTTTGGGAAGATATGTGCCAGTCGCTGAAAGACAGAAAAAGTACAAAATTCGCTTGCCTTGTCTTCCTTTGTCTGAGATTATGCGCAGTTTCAAACACATCCCGAAACATCTACAACAGTGATGAACAGAAAGAGTCTTTGAAAGTGCTTGTCTGACGGTGGAGCACGTGACACATTCAGCCCTGCAGCAGAGACCTAATGTTCATCTATTGCATAGAACAGCGTCGATTCCCGAAATGCATCAGTCCTGTAGGAGCGAGGGCATCATCTGATGCTGGGACCAAAACAGGCGTTCTGAGTCCCCAACATGCAAAGACACTAGGTTTCCATCTTTGATACTCTTACTGACACTGAACTCTTACCCTATACTCTCTAAAACACTGAACTCTTACCCTATACTCCCTATTTCAGATCTGAAATTATCCGTGACTTGCATTGGGATTATTCTTGTCAGTTTAGTTCCTCTTCCTTCTCAACAGTGTCTTCTTTCTTTCACATCTGGAGCAAGGACTTGGAATGTTTCTGTCTTTCAATTTTGGCATCAGTTTCAGGGAGGAGTCGTTATAGCTCTAGGGAAAATTATATTGTCTTGTATAAAAACTATTATAGTCTCTGCAAAAAGACTATCTTAATAGTTGTTCGAGGAGTGGCAATGTTGAATTTAAACAGTGGTAAAAATGTTAATATGATGACTGTTCACAACCAGAGCATAGAGCTGAAGTTATGTCTAAACTACCTGATCAAACTACGTCATGTTAACCCTTACACTCTGGTAATAGCCTTTTCAGTGTACATCTAGTTTATAATGCAGTGATGTGCAGCTCCTAATACAGCCAGTATTCAACAGGACGCATTCTTGTACAGTGTTCATGCCACAGTTTCTGTTACCACCAGTTTTTACTGTGCTCAGCCCACTGCAGTCAGATTTCAGTCTGTATATACCACTCAAATCTGCCTTGCGGAGGCTGCAGTCCAATTCAGGTAAAAAGTGAGCAAGTTAGGGATTGATGCAAACAGAAGATTATTGGAAATAATGATGATAATGACTGAAAGGGGCTATGATGAGGAAAAGAGGTTGCTAGTTGTAACAGCTGGACTGAGATTCCAGGCACAAGGTGTGCAGGGATCTAAAGGCAGGTGCAAAGCCAAAAATGGGAGGGATCAAAGAAAACACGTGCTTGTAAGCAAAGCAGTTAAGATCAGGAGACGGAGGAAGATGGGTTGGAAAGAGAGCAGATGTAAGGTGACTGAAGCACTGTGCAGGCAAATGACCTGAGGCATGATATTTTGCATGGAGTGTGGCATGGAAAGGAAACTCCTGCACGGTCCCCACAATCAACATTTTTTTTAAGAGAAGGGACGCTGCGTCTACCCACACTAAGGAACTTTGTCTAGTATTATGGAAAAAGAATCAGAGCCCCCATTAAATTAAGGTGTGTAACCAGCAAAATCATAGCAGTCTGCAATTCAGCAGAGAGAGAGGCGGAGAAACCCCCAAAAATCCAAACAAAAAAACCCCAAAACCCCCAAAGTCAGTTGGAATGAGCCCTCAGAGCAGGGTGGGCCCCTTAGTGCTTCGGGGCACAGAAGGAAAAAAGCACCGACTTTCAGTCTCCCGGAGCCTGGTAACAGGTGTTTTGCTTCGGGAGGGCTGTGTAGAAGATAGGAGTGAAGGTGTCGAACGGTAGTTAATATAGCTGGCAATAAGAAGTGTTGCTTCAACAATCTAGGGAAAAAAAGAAAATGATTAACTGTAAGTCAATTAGAGGTAAGAATGCCCTTTGATTTTTAGAACCTATTGACTGCATAACTTTTGCAAATGGCTATCTCACATGGAGTTGTTCGGTTTTGAAATGGAGGTCTGTTTCTTAAGAGTTAGGTAGAATAAGTCTCTTGCTCAAAAGTTCCAGCTTACAAGGGGTTTCTTGAATGTATATAGCTGGTGCAGCCGCCACAAGTACCAGTCTCCAGGGCTTGTACAAATGCCCAGCTATGAGGCTGCCAGCTGGAAAGAATCTCACTGTTCATTTTGTATTTACCTTTGGAATTGCCATTGTGAAAAGGAGTTTTTCAGTGCTGTTTTTTCCAGAAGTCCTTTCTTTCATTTGACTGACTACAATCATGAAGTCATCTCGACAGCCTCCAAAAGTCAGCACAGAGGAGTATGGATAAGAGACCTTCAAGTGCTGCAGACAACAGAGAGTTTGAAACAGTCATAGTTCTGTAAAAGAAAAAACGGCCACCTTAAACCACGGTATTTGCCACTTACTGCAAGAACACTGGATCTCCCGCAGTAATAGGCAGTACAGTTCTATAGGTAACAGCTGGCAGACAGATCTGAACTGAGAATTGCATTTCCAGTTTTCTCCTAGCTTGCTCAATGCCTCACTGCTTCAGAGCAATAGTCCAAACTTTGTTACATCCCAGGTGGTGGTAGTGGAGCACATACCACTGAGATTTTGCAAGATGTACAAGCGTGTTTGCTGCCCATCAAAGAGACAGTTAGCTGTTTTATGAAACCTTACCTTATACTGTAGCTGTAATTTTCCTTTGTTTATGTAGCGTTCAAACATAGCACTGACTTCCCTCATCTCTGACTTCTACAAATTAACTTCTGGATCAATTTGAAGTTAAAGACAAACTTTGAGTGACTTTAAGTGAACTCAGGAGAATGTCTTTCTGAGGGAGGTAAGTTACTTTTCTTAAACAGTGTTCCTCACCATACCATAGTGTTATAATCCAGTATGCCGATACCATCTTCATTCACAGCTATCCAGACTGGACAGTCTTCCAATGAGGAAGGCAAAATAGGCTAGAAAAAAGAAAATTTAGATATTTATTGACCACCATACAAAGATGTTTCTGACATAATCTTGGGTTTTAAGGATAAAGTGAAGATGGGAGAGAATCCTGTAGTACTGGTCTGACCTGATTTGATTTTTAAGAGGACTTCTCTCAAAATCTGGAATAATGTTTTCAGATTTACATAGACTTTTGGGACAAATGGCACAAGAGATGCAATGATAACAAAGGCTTTGAGATTAATTACATTCCATCAGTGTAGTTAAATCTGAAGGAAATGCTAGGACAGAGAAAAAAAATGGCAGCTCTGGTTCTTATACTACTCCTATCAGTCAGGCATGTGGTGAATCCTGTTGATTTCTAGAATAGCAGCACACCCAGTGCCATCACATCAGTGCAATTTTCTTTCCTACAGATTTTGACAGATGTGCATCAATCATCCCTTAAAGATGAGCTATGTGTTGTTATGGCTAATGACATGAATCTTTCCTGGGAATCTGCTATGACATGGCTAATACCATCGGCTTTGCCGTTTAACTAGTGCAAAGTTATAAAATATGTTAATCTGAAATATCAACATTATTTAAACTCTGTGTGGAACTATTCTATATTCTGATTCTTCAGTGTCAGTAACCTCAAATACCAGCAACCTCTCTTCTGCTTTTACTCCTGATAGTGAAAATAAGTGTCTTTTCGAAAACTTCCTGTATATTTACTCAAGAGGTCCCTTTCATCCTTAGACTTTATTCTGTAACTATAGCAGCTTTGACTTCAAAGCAAGAGACGTGTAACCATGAACAAGACGTATCTGCAGCTTTTAATAGAGGAGATTTCTGCTGGGTTGGGGAAGATGGTTAATGCCAAAACAAGATTTCTAAGACATCCACTATGTGCTAAGACATTAGTTCCAGCAAGGGTAATAGGTACAGAGGTCTAGCCTGGGGTGAGCTGAGGGATGATACATGCTACTGGGAGAAGCACTCCCTCCAGCTGTTCTTTGCTGTCCACCTGATGCCTGTGAGCTGGCAGCTTACCCAATATGTGCTTTAGTTTTTGTTTCTGCAACAGGACATGAGAAGTGCTTGCCTCTCTCATGTGGCAAGGAAAGCAGCCAGCTCTGTGTCAAGCAGAGAACAGGACTGAAATACTCATTCTCCTTTTAGCAAGCATCAGCTGCCAGGTGTGATTTATGGGGCACGCTTCCCTTCCAGCCCTCACAGTGGTATGTAAATAGTATTTTTTAAACTATCATTGCAGCCCTGATGACCAGGGAAATTCTCAGGGAAAGCTGCCTGAGAAAGCTTTGGCAAGGTTTGTAAGGAGAGCGATCAACTGATCAACTGATGCAGCCCAGGGAACCTTCAATATTTATTTACTAAACGCTAGCAACCTCTAGTGTTTATGAATGTGTTTCCCTTCTTTCTAAACCTATATGGTATCAAACAGAGCTGTTCATTCAGAACAGAGCAGTGTTCAGTTTTTCCCCTTCCTGAAGTAGAAGCGTTTTCAACTAGTGTTACCAGAGATCAGAGGTATGCCTCTGCTCAGGTAGTTCACTCTTAGGAACAGAAAAAAGTGTGCTCCAGTTACCTTAGCGACAAATATTTTGGTTCCAAAGAGGGGCCATTTCCGGGCCACTGTCAAATAGATTCGGATGCATTCTGGTGGAGAGCACCCCTGCAGGACCATCCACTTCGTTGCCAGCCTGTCAGCCAGTTGCCTTTCGGAATCCAAGAAGCAAGACAGCGTTATTTACTAATGTCTTCCAAGGAAAGGTAAGTAAAATCATATCAGTTAATCAATGTACCTCTTATTCCAAACGGGCTGTTCTACGCATTACTATGGCCAGGGCTGTTGGCATTGTCAGTTACGAGGGTTGTACAACCCAAGTTTATTTTAGCATTTGCTCTGCTTCTACAATTATTTTACTACTAGTTATACTGTAATGCCCAGGAATCCCAGTCACATATGGGTTGCTCACTGGTGTATATATTAAACAACTGTAACTAAAAACACTCAGGCAGCTGTTAAAATAAAATCCTGCCCAGCTTGTCTTCACATTCAATTATACTCTCACCTTTATCTTAACTTGTCTGTAGTATGCTCTATATGGAGTGGCAATATATATTAACTCACTGTTGATTTGGCTCACTGGGGATGGTTTGGCAGCTATCTTGCTACATGCAGATGGAATTTGCTTCCAAAAGGAGGCAATTGTGTTAGTTCCACTACTGCATCCCTAAGTAGCTTTGGATCTGGAAGATTACCCTTCTCTCTTGAAAACAGTTAGAGCTGAGATCCATGGCAGCATCTGAATTCTGTACTTGAGATCTCTGCATTGTGTGTGAGAATTTCCGAGTCAAAACATCAAAAAGCCCTGCCAAAACACATCCTACCAGAATTGCTGCATGGCCTGAAGCAGCCCATATGTGCTGGCTTTACGGCTCATTGCAAATGTTAGGCATCTGGATTCAATTGACACTTGGGGAAGGGCAAAACAAAAATTCAGAAACAGAATTAATCTTAGTCTTAGTTTAGAGTTTGTTGGAACTGAGATGCCTAATTTGGAAGTGAAAGGTTTAAAGTTCTTGTCTAGGGGATAATTAGTTGGTGATTTGGCTCTTTTTATATTAGTTAACTGCTATTTTCTTTTAAAGGAACCTTTTCCTGACACTTGTGTTTTGTTTAAGTTTCTACATCAAATAATCTTGACAGGGCTCCTTGAAACTTCTTAAATATAAAGACAGAATTTTGCACGTAGAATTCGTTTTCAGTGCAAAGTGTAGAAGAACAAACAATTTACCTGAGCTGTTCAGGAGTAATGTTTTGCTTGTAGCGTTTGGGGTAGAATTTATCTAAGACCTGGTGGAGAAGATGCTGCATTTTATATTGTGATGTTCCCCCAGGACTTGAAGATCCCGGTCGATCCAAATCTCCATATTCCACCTAAGAAAACATTATAGTTGATAGTGCAACAGAACTTTGGGTGTTTTAGTGCAACAGAACATTCCATGAATTCCCATACCAATAACTACTGTGTTTATTAGTCATGCAAAAAGACATCGTTAGGGGTAGGTATTTTGTCTACAGCATTTACCATAGCAAATGTATACAACAGAGCAACTACTGAGGATGTGACTACCCAAGGAATTCTTTACTGATCTAAGAAAGTGAAACAAGATCTCGGCCAGCTATTTGTTGTAGGGAGACACTTCTGTGTAACTGCCAGGCTTTTGGGGTTTATTTTCAATTGGCCAATTAAAACAACAGCCTATTTGTAAATAGTTTGGACAATGTTCCCACCTTCTTCATCTCAGTTTACATTGCTTTAACAAATGCAGCAATCAGTTTCAGCTTACTAAGAAACTATTATCCTGCTTATCATGCCCACAAGCCATACTGTGTGTTTTATGTGGTAAAATGCTAAATGCAAGCCTGGAGGTCTAATGGAGGATCCTACAAGATGCTCTTCCTGAGTAAGAGGCTATTGGCAATGCAACAGGGAAAGTTTTGACTATTAAGTGGAATTCTAGTGATATTATTTCCATATCTCTGCTAAGGCACTACTTGGAACTGTTCGGGGGATAGTCCAGCCTCACTGTTTTTTCCAGTGTTTTTCTTCAGGAGAGACACTCCTGTTCCCTACAGCAAAAGCTGTTCTAATAACATATGTATGCTGGTATAACATGTTTCGCATGGCACATCTCAGACTGTATGTTTGATAAGAAATACCACTTTTGATGTAAAAGACGGCTGCTTGCTAAAAGATAATCAGTGTACAGCTGAAGTCCTTAGAGGACAAAAGGTAGTATTTCTGCCCATAGCCATACTCACCTGAGCCATCAGGGCCACCATTTCCAGGGCTAATTCCTTATTAACAGGAAACCTTCCATTGGCTATTTCATTGCTGACTTGGAAGGCCAGTAGCAACCGCTCCCGATCTGTCTCACCTTTGGCCTGGCTCCGAAAATATAACCTAAAAAGCAGAGAGGATTGTGAAGGTAAAAAGGTATTGTGAACCGAAAGCAGAGGTGGGAACTTTAATCAAGGTGAGTAAAACTAAAAGTGGGTTGTTTTGGTTTTTGTGGGGTTTTTTTCCCTCCTTCTCCAAAGTGAACTTTGTGTATTACAGAGGGTACTGGAGAGAGATTTGGAAGCTGAGGTGCTTCCCTTATGAACAAGATTTGGGCGAGAAGGCTCAAAACATGTTTTCTAGCTTTGGAAGCCATTTGAATTCTGAGTGCCGACCACTTCAAGACAGTGAAGCCCTATTAAACACAGGCAAATCAGTGTCCTCCGTCCCCGTCAAGCACAGACAGGCAATATTTAAGATACGGCCTTCTCTGCTTATCACAGAATACAGAACTGCCTCTGCTCTACATGAATAAACTTCTACAAGACAGCCTTGTAGACTTGTTATTTTTCCCAGTCTTGTTTTGACCATTTACACTGATATCGTTA